TTCAGACTAAAATGCTTGTCTTCTTCATTTTTATTTGGCTCGATAAAGAAGCCCACACTGTCCTTACAGAATTCATGAAACTTTTCTGACAGATAAACAGGGAAATGCAAAGATCAACATCACTTATGCAGTCGAAGGGTCTTGCTAGAGTCTGAAGTATTTTTCTTTGGAAACAAGTCTTTAACCCTCTTTAGGTGCAGAACCTCACGTTTCACTTACCACACACCACACAACAAGACAGTCAGCCTCCAGACTTTCTGAGCCGTGTCCACCTGCAGACCTCTGCACGTTTAACTGGAGTGCAGCTGCAAGAGGAGCAGGGAAAAGGCAAGGCAGTGGGCTGTACTCACCTGCCTCCCTCGAATTGCCAGGAATTTCATGGGCTGGCCTGAGAGACTTCTGCCATCTCAAAATGAAACAAAATCTATCCCTAACAACTCTCTACCAGCCTAATAGGAAATACGTTTTCCTGTAGAACATGCAAAAAGGGGGGAAATGATCCAAACACATCATTACATAGTCCAATAGGATTTCTTACAAACTCTAGAAACTGCTTCACTGAAAGCAGGCTCCTATTAACTAAGTCTAAAAGGCATATTGGCAAAATAACTGCAGAAGTCAAAGTCTAAATAATTTTCCACAGATTGTTAACAAGTGTATCTGAAATAAAGAGGATGGAAAAAAAAATCCACCACCTGTTGCTACACAATTAAACCAATTCAAAGATTTAAAAAGAAATGTTTACAAATCATCATGTTTTCCCTACAACTCCCCTCCTTCCCTAGAGATGAGAGGATCCTAAGGACACAAGGAGGGAGGCAGAGAGTAGCGAGAGCATCACAGCAGTGAGAAATCCTGGAAAAAATTTTAGCATCAAGTGACTTTACAAGAGATTCTTCTGCAAACAGAACTGTAGAAATGATGAAGAAGTTAATTCTTTCTGCAACACAGGGAAACTTTTGATTTCCAAACCCTTGCTTGGACAAATAATCATGCAATTAATCTATTGAATATGTTAGTTAGAGGAGGAAAGCAGAAACAGCTTCATTACCACTATACAGAATCATACAAGCAGCTGTAGAAATCCAAGTTCCTTAAAAATTATTGCCACAATGAAACACTATAATCTATTTCAATAGCAAGTTCTACCGCGTATCCATGATTCCCTGAATATTCACACATTTCCAATATAGCCTGAACCAATGCTAAGCATTCAGCAACATAGTGCAAGCATACATCAGATAATTCACATATTCTAAGCCAACATACCTCTTTAATAACTCCATAACATTAAAACATCAACTCGAGAGAATAGAACATAACTCGCAAACAAAAAGACGTCAGCCTGAAGATGGAAGATCAAGCATGACATTTACTGAAGGGCTGTGATAATAATATATCAGGAACTTCTTACCAAAATTTAACAACAAAAAATAAAAACACACACACACTTAGAGTGGTATCTAATTGGCCCAAGGCACTGACAGTATGTGCTGCACTACCTAATTCCTGCTGTTAACATTTCTTGAAGGTTGATCCTGAACCATCTGTGGCAATGGAATAGAAAGTATTAAACGCAGCACACAATTAGAGTAATGCCACAACACTTCAGACAGTCAACACCAAGTTACCAGCATGGCGATCCTATTTTGGAGTAACAAGGAAAAAAAATGACCCCCATTTTTGGTATCTTGCTGTGTCATCCCTTACAGGCATTAACATTGCCCTTCTCCACAAGCAAGCCCTTAAAGATTCTGATCTGTTATCCTTTAAAGGGAGCAATTAATGCTGCTATTCAAAGTTTCTGACCTTTAGCTCTCAGTCCCGGTAGGGTTATTCAGATTTTTCTTTTTAAGTTTAGCTGAAAACAGTAACTATTTGCATCTTCCTAAAGGCAGACATGCATTAATCCCAACCACAAACTGGAGTCAGTTTCAGAGAAGTAATTCCCAAAGCTTTCACCTCCAAACACGCTCTTCCCTTCAGGACCAGATGCTTTCCAAATTCTGCTAGCATTTCCAAATCACTTCAGTTTTGATGTTCTCCCTTCCAGAGGTATTTTAGCAAATAGCGTTGAAAATGCTTTCAGAGCAGCATGAAGTTTCGCATCCCATGCTGCATTCCTCCTCCTCTGCAGGAGGATGACCATTGCTATGATTATTTTCAGCGAAGCTGCAGTGCTAGGTTCAATTTGCTTTATTTTCACTGACACTCTCCCCACTCCATTTTCCTGCCCCCCTTTCTTTTCCTCAAAATTATATACTCAGTTTCACTGCTGCTTCTTTTAGGAACATTCCTAAGGAAATGTCACAAAATCAAATTAATGTAATTACTATTCGTTGTCTTCATCTAATTTTTACTTTAAAGCCACCAAACGTGGAGAAAAAATGAGCATGTTATCTTCCAAACTGACCCACACTGGCATCTTACACTTTCTTTTCAAAGTATAATTAACACATGCTGTCTTTTACAAGGCAAAAATTCCCCCACACAAAAAAAATCGCATCCCTTACAGTCAAAAACAAATCATCAATTCCAACCTATCGATACTTCTGTGTTAAACATCCCTGATAGGAGAGTCGTTATCTTGGATAGGAGAGGCTCATCTTGGAGACTGACAGGCCAAGATTCCTCTAGACCCAGAGAAAGGGTACTCCAGAGCCGAGAATCATCCAAATAAAAAGACAAAAAGTTACGGCTATGTAAACGGAGAGAGAGCCAGGCTCAGCTAGCGCTGTGCAGGGAAGAGGCAATCAACTTGACAGTAAGCGTAATTAGTGTTGTACTTCCTGCCAAGATTAGACATGATATAAGCATATATATCAGATGAATTTGACGTGATATATTACTACTGATGTGCCCAAATATATAAAACGGGGTGGAGAGTGGATGGTGTGGCTTTTGGAGGGGTGGGAGTGTATTTTTTTGTTACTATTTTATGTTAAGGGAGGAAAAAAAGTATTTGACATGCCATTTCTGTCTCCATCTCATTTGTTCATTAAAGTTTCCTCTCCTTTCTAGCTTCTATTTCCATCATGATCAGAGTGACATAAAACATCCTCTTTGTTGCCGCTCACTAAAATCGAAGCTGCATCATGTCTCTTTTTCATGTCTTTTCTCCCCTCCTTGTCATTCAGAGGTTTCAATCCATCGGCTTTCTGCACACATTTGCAGTCCGAGCCTGTTTCTCAATGCCAGCCTTCTTGTTTGCCTCTTCTCTTTCTTGTTTTCACTCACCAAAACTCCTTCCTGTCATGTATCAGCTCCAAATTGCCACCATCTCATAGTTGTCACCCACACATCAACCCCTTTTCCTTGTCCCCATGCCAGACTCCCATCTTTGCAAACAGCCACTTAGTATGAGTAGTTTCCTATTGTTTTAAATACGCACCTACTGCTTTCCTTTCCATGAACCACGCATTTACACCTCACTGCTCTCCGTCAACTCCTAAAGCTCCTCTGCATTTGCTCTTTTTTCCACCAGGTTAGCCTCAGCACGGTGGACTGTCCCAGCCCATATTTTTCTTGCTCTCTGTGGCACACTGACCCAACATTTGAGACTCGTTTCAGATCTCTCTGCATTTAGCAAAACAAGACAAATTAGTGAGACACGGCACTGACTGCTGCAAAGAAATCTGTCCCTACCCAACTCCAGCCCCAAGCTCCACAGACAAACAAGCCAAACCACAGCATGATCTAAACTGTCAACAGAAGCCTCAAAAACCCTTATTTGAGAGTTATTCTATCAAACACGTTTCTAATACCTAATTTGGGCCCAATACCTGAAAAGAAGAAAGAGAATCATGCCCAACTTAACACAAGAGCAGAAATAACAGGAAGACAGGAATCCTCAAGGCTCTTAGGGCTGGACCTGAAGATTAATGGGCTTCTCTGTTCAATTGCCGAACTGCAAAAACAGTGAAGAAGGAAAAGAAAAAGCTACCCAAACCTGAACACCACCCCTTCCAAAAAGAAAAAAAAAAAAAAAAAAGAACTGAATGAGAACTGAATGCTTATTTTCTTTCTAGCTTTTGCTAGAAAGCAATCCTAAAGTTTTCCCTTAGAAGCTGTCAAGTCTTATTGCAGAAAAGTGACCACTTCACTGAGAGGAAATTTAACCTTCTGCCTTTTTTTTTTTTTTTAAATTTCCACTTTTTCCAAATATTTACTTAAAACTATTGCAATGAAATCTTGCAACCCCTAGACAAAACATAGCAAGTTTCCAAATTATTTTAGTACTTCTAAAATGGTGATCTCTCACTAGCAATACACTCTCTGTAAACTAAGATTTAGCTTGAAGCTCTGACCCTCTCAGTTTAACTGAATCTCAAACTTCTTACTAAAGTACCTGAAATGGAAAAAATATATTTTTTTTTTTTGGATGGAAAGTTTAAAACAACTTCACCTCAAGAAGTAAGCCTTTACCTGGACTTGTCTGTACTACTCCAGCAAACACAGAGCGTATTGCTGTTCATTTCCTGACAAATTACTCTCCAAGAGAATACAAATCATCATCACTGAGCTTCAGAAACGCTCTGGAAGAGCTGTCTCAATTCACTAGAGACAAAAAGCCAGCCACCGAGCAGACTACATCCCAGTGGAAAGCCTCCCTCTCTCATAAACAGGAGTTTTAATCCCATTCACTAATGGCTGAATTACATTCACCTTTATTGTGCTACATCTTCAGACAGCTTTTCCATCCATTACATTTTTTGTTGTGGGCATATTCTCTATTTTATTAACAACTGTAACATAATTCAATACATATTTCTAAACAAGACATGTTATCTTCCTGACTGTTTTAAAACATTTCACAGCTAAAGCACAGCTAAATTTTTAATTAGGAAAACAAAACCAGGAAAAAAAAATCCTACTGTGTGTTTCTATTGGGATGATTCGTACAATATATTTGCCTTATCTGTCAAGCCTCCCCCACCACCCAAGTTTCCTCTTTCCCAAATGAATGCCCTGTATTAAAGCCGATGCTACACAAACCATACCTTATCTCCAGAGATTCTTGCAGTCACCGACTCCACCACATCCACTGTTACTGACGCCATATATCGTGTTTACTACAGATACCCAAAATGAATTACAGGATCTGAAATGTGTGCTGCCTGTAGTTTTCTAAGTATCCCAGGACACATAGGTTAATGCCCAGGAACCGCTGCCCCCATACTGCAGTAACCGCACTCTCACTGTCCTGGCCTCTCAAATACCTGGTAACAGAACAGCTGAAAACAATTTCACACACCCCAGTGAAAACACAGCAATTTACTGACAATAGACACCTGAGCAAAGACAAAAACCTCTACCTAATGACCAAATAACACTCTTGCCATGTATGTATATTTATATAAAAATCTACAAACCCTGCTATGGCGAGTTCCGCTCTCCACAATCTCCTGTTCTCAACACAACAGACAGAAATCTAGGCTGCTTTCGTAACATGCTGAAACTATGCCAACATGAGTTATTAGCTATTGCAGGAGATGGATCAAAAACTGCCTCCACTGTACCTGATAACTGAAGAGATTGTTTTGGGTGATCTTCCTTTTGGAAGGCTATGCCAGGCTGGAAGAGCCAAGAGGCAGGAGCATCCTTCTGCCCAGTCTTGTCAAGTTGGGGACAGATGAGAGCGATTCACTCGCTCTGAGCAAGGGCAGGAACATAAGTCTGCCACCCTAATTTAATCTGTTTCCAGCATTTCAAAAATCCTTACTATTCACTGCTTTCTCCTTCTCTGAAGGAATATTTACATCTTCTATTTAAAGAAGTGAGTCAGACTATTTCTCTGTTTCTGAATAGTTTTTAAATAGCTCGAAAGGTTTGTTTCATTTTTTAAACAGACTTTCTCTCTCTTCTCCATACAACCCTTCCAGGCCACATCACCCCAGCTGAAACACTTTTTATACTTTACTACACCACAGCTGGGTTTGTGAGCTCTTGCTGTGTCACAGACAGGGGGAGATGATCTCTTGAGGTCCCTTCCCCTAAAATCCTGTGATTCTGTGAGACAGGTGCTGCGGACAAGCAGGCAGCAGATCAGCCCAGGTGCTCCCCCACAACCTGCCCATAGTCAACTCAGCACATACACAGGGAGCCCAACACCTGCTGACCGTGTGAGCAGACACTTCTGCCCAGAAAAGCCAGGGTCTGCAACCCCACTGAGAGCTACTTTCCAGCCCACAGTGGACAGTGCTGTGCCAGACAGGCAAGGATGGGGTCTTTTGGACTAAAATAAACCTGCTTAGGCAGGTTGAATTTATTATGTCATTAATACACATTTTTCTTTGCTTTCTTAGTGGCCCTTGAATGTCTCTGCCCTCATCCCTTTCATATATTTTCTCAGAAAAGCTTCCTACTATGTGAACACAAGGAAAGGAAAGATAAAAAGAAAAACAAACAAACAAACAAACAAACCCTTTAAACTAGCTAGTTTATTTTCAGATAAAATATATGCTTTAGCAAGTAAGTTGGTCCCAACAGAAAAGAAAGAGAAGCAATCAAAAAACCTTCCTCCCCAAAAATTAGAAGCAGATTATTGTTCAGAATGCTTTTACTTACACTTCCTTTTTTATGATTTTTATTTGTTGAGCTTTTATTTTGATGGAAACAGTAATGCAGCATGTCCTTACTACTCAAGCGTTTAAACTAAATACAGCAGAAATACAAAGGAATGCCTAAAGATGACTCAGTAAGGAGCACTCAACAAGGAGCAGAAAGAGCATTACCAGTATGTTCCTGCTAGGCTCGCTAGTCCAAAGCACAGTATTTTTAGCGTGTCATGTTCAAGACAAGATGGTACACAGCAAGCACTTGTGCTCAGACCCAGCAGCGAGTTAGGACGGTCTGTTGGTGATGCAGAGGCTGGACTTGTGCAGGCTCACAGAGCGAGCACAGAAACCTTGCAGAGTTTCTGATGTAACTTGACCAAACTAACTCTTTTTGTTGTTGTTATCCTCTGGCACAACTCCCTAGGGTTTTTCAAGTAAACGAACTCATCTTACTTGTGGTGCTTCGCCTGTTTCCCCTACCACAGCACCCATTTTGCCACCACCATGGAAAGAGGCCTGCACGCGGTGGGACACGGCCTACAGGCCTGCCGCATGCTGCCTGGGCAACCCCACTGCCTCCTCACGGCCTGCCCACCTATGCACTTGATCTTGGGGCAAACAACAGAAAATGTAACCTCGCTAGTATTTAAAATGCTGCCTCAGGAGTAAGTTCAGGAGAAGAGTGGGAGGTACGCATGGGCAAGCTCAGGCTGCAGAAGGACCCAGAACATGCTGCACCACAACAGCACAGAGGGTTTTGGGCTAGTAAGTCAGATCTGTTGTACTAAGAAACTCAACTGTAATGAGGCAAGACGGCCCATCCACAGCTGCTAAACTTCCCTGGTTCACAGGCAAACCACATCAGCTCTCCCTCCCCTCAGCTGCACTGGTAACACAGGAGCCTGCAAGCTGTGGCCAGAACCAGAGAAATTTTCATCTTCTGTCTATTGTGTTTACTAACAGTAAAGCTAAGTTTTGCAAAAGCAATGCTTTTGTCTCACAGAACTGAAACAAACCCCTGAGATTCAAGCAAATTCCTAACTGTTGATAACCCAGACACGTGCTTTTTGAACACTCTCCCTGGCAGCCTGGCCGGACAGCATCTCTCAGCTATAAAACAACTCAAGTTCCTACAACAGCCTCTGCATCAGGCAGCTTGAGCAGACAGGCTTCCACTTTTCCTCTGATCTGGCCTATCAATAGCATTGACCCCCGGCACCACATTCACTGATAAAGCACAGCATACACCTGCAACAGAGAATGGAGAACTTACCTCGCTGAACAACAGCCTGAAGGCATTTCCATCACCTCTTTAATCGGCAACAGCATCCCTGTTGCTCAGCTTTCATAATCCCTTTAAGTTATGGTGGATGGCTGCAAGAAGCATTGCAGGGCAGAGAGGCAGAACAGACAGGCATTTATGTTGTCGGCACAGCGCTGACAACTCGGGGTATTTATTTATTTTTTTATTATTGTTTTCTTATCCCACTCTTCGCTTACAGCCTGTGCAGCCAGACAAGCTTAGTTGCCTTGGACACCTGGATAAGACCACTCACATCACAGCACATCTTCCAGCACGACCCCCTGCCCACCTACTAACAGCTACGGGCAATCAAAAGCTGCCAAAGTGCAGCCACCACCTGTTTTCTCCAGTCCCCAAGACCCTTCTCATGTCGCTACCTCTGTGCCATAATTCAACAGCGAGCTTGGCACGCGGTGCCCGCAGCATCTGGCATGTTTCACCTGCTCCAGCTCAGCTTCCTCACGTGCTTTCCTGTCACCAGCCGCGGTGCCAGTGGCTGCTGTTCCACGCACACAGAAGGAGCAAGTGTCTAAAGCAGGCACAAGACTGCTGCTGATCTGTTTGATAGCAGTGTTTCCGAGGGCAAGACGTAAGAGACTGAAAACTGGTTTAGGGGGGAAAAAAAAAAATTATACTGAAGTGCAAAGAGACCTCTGGGAATCCCCACAAAGCCAGACTTTTTGCCAGCAAACCCCAGAACTTTTGTGCTGTAAGAAGCAGTTAAAAGCAACAGCACGAGTGCCTCCTACCAGAGCAGCGTGTCAGCAAATACACATCAGCGCGATCCTTATCGGTAAAGCTTTCTAGTGAAGAGATGTCCCTAGAAAGCAGTCACTAACAAATACAGTTTTCCTGAATATCATTACTGATCCAGAAGTAATGAAATAGCAGATAATATGGCCCCAGGGTACAAATCAACCACCTACCCTAATGCATACAGATGGAGCTCAACAGCTCTTCTGGTCTTCCATTACCAGAGTGAAATGGGATCTCTGAAACACGATCATTGCAAAACAGAAGAGAAGCTTATTCATGAGCAGTGTTTATTTCTGATTTTTTCAGAAAATGCTTTTAAATGTTGCAAACAGAGGGAAAAAAAAATCTGCTTTCCTGATTGCATGAAGATGACCAGGCATAGCTTTCCCTCAGAGAAGAGAAATTAAAAAGCAGAATGTAAAATCTCTGCTCTGATGTTGCAGAAAAAAAAAAAAAAAAAAAAAAAAAAAAAAAAGCTTTGCTAAGAAAAGTATCTAAATACTTTCAATAATAATTAGCCATGAAACTGTACCCAGTCCCACCAAACAAAGTAGCAAAACTGTCAGGACTTACAGCAGGCTCATGCTCCTCCTGTTGATGTTACACCAGGTAAAGCAGTAACTTCCACAGTGCTCTCAAACTGCCTCAGCAAGCCTGTGAGGTACAGGCAGGCACAGAAACCCTCTGTTTCCACCCTTAGGAAAACGTAGCACTTAACAGCAAGAGCCTACTCCTGCAAAGACGTGATGTTGTGCATTTTGAGCTGGTCACACTCCCATGAACCAGCCAGCCCAGGGTACAGCTCCACACACACTGCACACGTGCCGACGTATCCATATGTACGTCTCCGAGAGGTACCCCTGCACACCCAGTAATGTTATGCTTAAGTCACCTCTTTGGCACGACCTTACTTGAACCCCAATGAAATCCTTTCAGAAGCTAGCTTACCACTTTTGTAAAAAAAGTTTGAAGATTTTACAGTGCAGGTTGAACACCCACACAGGGCACCCACGTGGCAAAAGGCGCAAGAAACAGAAGTTCCCCTTGTCACCATGTCCCTTCTCAAGCGCTTTTGGTGGCACCTGTTTCTAACAGGTGCATCATCCTGCTCCTCCATGTAGGCAATAAAGACATCCTCTACAAGCTTTCTTTCAAAAAAAACACTGATTTTTTTGCTCTCACTAGATAAATTAAACAACATGCAATTACACAGAAGAGCTAGAGGCAGGGGTCAGCAAGTACCTCTGTGACCCCCAGCTCCCATAAAAGCATCCCCAGCCACCCGAGTAGGCGGCAGCAGGGGAGCAGGATCAGCTAGCCCTCCTCCTTACCTGCTCCCCCCCAAGAAACTCCACATGCTTTGACCTTGAGAGAACAACAAAGCACAAGATAAACAAACACACAAGCATGACAAATTCGGAATCAACGGTTACAGTAGCTCGCGGTTAAGGAAGCAGCAGATTACCTTATTTAAAATCACTGACCGAAGAACCAACGGAGGGAAAAGACAAGTCAAACATTTCAGTGGTGTGAGCGGGGCTAGGTGGTTGACAAAGTATGATTTTATCAGCCATCCTGCACGACGGAGAGAACCAAAAAAAAAAAGAGAG